TGTTTTATTACCACTCAGAGTGTCAAAGCTAGTTCCTCAACCAGTTTGACACCATGCGCAGGTACACACACACACACACAACCACACACACACCACACACACACACACACACACACCACACACACACACACACACACACACACACCACCACCACACACACACTCACCACACAAATCGACACAGACAACCAGGAAAAGAAAAAAAACAAGATCACACAACTAGAGACAGACAGACAAGACAGCACAGATTCAGAGACCACACACACACCAACAAACACACAGCACACGACACACACCACTCACACGGAACAGAAGAAACACACTACAGCAACGACGACACACCACATACACTCTCACACAACACACACAACCACACACACACACAGACAGACACGCACCCACCACACTCACTCCAGGCACACAGACAGAACAGACAGACAGACAGCACAACAGCACAGACAGCAGACAGACGACAGACAAGGGACAGGACAGAACAGAACAGACACACTCTCACACACACTCTCACCACAACTCTCTCACGACACAACTCTCACACCACACTCTCACACACACTCACACACACACACAACAGACAGGACACAGACACTCTCACAACACACTCCACACACTCCACACACCACACAGACAGACCACATGACAGGCGTGGATGGAACACAAGAACACACACAACCACACAGACCCAACAGACAGACACACACACACGACAGACCCCACCACCCACCTCACACACACACCCACTCACCACACACACCACCACACAACCACACACACACTTCACTACACACACAGGACTCAGACCCAACCACAGACCAGGGACAGACAGACAGAACAGACAGGACAGACAGACCAACAGAGCCAGACCAAGACAGAAACCCCACAGAAGACCGATCCAAACAACACTCCAGACCATGACAGTACCCACAGACCCAGAGACACACCACACACACTCTCACACCACACTACACCCGTGTGTGTGTGTCTGTCTGTCTGTGTGTGTGTGTGTCTGTCTGTCTGTCTGTCTGTCTGGGTGTGAGTGTGTGTGTGTGAGTGTGTGTCTGTCCGTGTGTGTGTGTCTGTCTGTCTGTCTGTCTGTCTGGGTGTGAGTGTGTGTGTGTGAGTGTGTGTCTGTCCGTGTGTGTGTGTCTGTCTGTCTGTCTGTCTGTCTGGGTGTGAGTGTGTGTGTGTGAGTGTGTGTCTGTCCGTGTGTGTGTGTCTGTCTGTCTGTCTGTCTGTCTGGGTGTGAGTGTGTGTGTGTGAGTGTGTGTCTGTCCGTGTGTGTGTGTCTGTCTGTCTGTCTGTCTGTCTGGGTGTGAGTGTGTGTGTGTGAGTGTGTGTCTGTCCGTGTGTGTGTGTCTGTCTGTCTGTCTGTCTGTCTGGGTGTGAGTGTGTGTGTGTGAGTGTGTGTCTGTCCGTGTGTGTGTGTCTGTCTGTCTGTCTGTCTGTCTGGGTGTGAGTGTGTGTGTGTGAGTGTGTGTCTGTCCGTGTGTGTGTGTCTGTCTGTCTGTCTGTCTGTCTGGGTGTGAGTGTGTGTGTGTGAGTGTGTGTGTGTACCTGCGCATGGTGTCAAACTGGTTGAGGAACTCGTACACTCTGGCGTGGTAATAATAACACTTGGCAGCCACCAGGTCCAGAGCTCTGCGGTTCTTAGAGCCGATCTTCTGCAGCAGGTCGTCAGACACTTTCTGAGCCTGAAACATTCACATCAACATCCTCATCATCCTCTTCGTCATCGCTCTACAGAAACAGTGACAGTCTATGGAGTTGGGTTGACACCAGAACCGATACTTCGGTACCAAGTCGCAAAAAACGTGATGGTACCGAAAAGAACCGAAAAGTCCCGACACGTGACGAGATGGATCATCACGCTCTAAGGAAGTAACGTAAGACTGACTTCCTGTTCAGGGAGGCAGGTGAGTGCTCGTCACCTGGTCAGGTTCATCGCGCACAAGCAGCACGTCAACTGTCTGAGCAACTGATCTTTATTTTAGCAAAGTTTTGTTTTTCTTTAAAACTTGAAGGCGACATGCGACTAGATGTTTCATCTTATTATATCTATTATTTCCACATTTTGGATTTGGTCAACTGTGCAATAAAAAGTTGAATGTTTATATTTTAGCACAGTATTTTTGTGAAGAATACATTCCACTTTTGTTTAATGGTTTTTTATTTGTATTTTTGAAAGAGAAAGTAGGTGATTTTTTTTACCGTGGTGTCGAGAATCGTGGAATTTCACTGGTATTGGTATCAACTACTACATTTCATGGTGACATCACAGGAGTGTCATAAAAATAAATAAATCATGTAAAGAATAATTTGCATCATATTATTATTTTCATTCATTAAAAGCTCATTTTTTATTTTCTTATTTCTGTGTTTCCTCATTGATTTTTTATTCTCTTACAGTTTATTCTTTTTCATGGCACTCCTCTGACATCACAGTGTACAGGTCAGCCCTCGACCAATCAGAGCTCCCCGACTGCTTTCACTGCTCTGGGCCTATTACACGCTCACTCGTCAGTGATGTCAGAACATGTGACGGACCTCAGTGTATCTCTTGTTGTTGGTCAGGTGAACCACCAGCAGCAGCTGCAGGTAAGCCTCCACCTCCGGCAGCAGAGGAGCCGACGCTGCTTTACCTGTCCTCGGACGAAACTGGACGTCTCCCTCCGCCATCTCCATGGGCTGAGAGAGAGACACACAGACATGTTACCTAGGCCCAGGTAAATCTGGAGGTTAAAGCAGGTTAATCAATACTGAAGGTGATCAGTGATGGGGGGGGGGGGTCTCCTCACCTCCTCCAGGAAGCCCAGCAGGAAGTCTCTGGTGGTGGCGTTGTTGGTGAAGAAGCCGCAGATGGCTTTATGCAGCACGTTGGTGTTGAGGCGGCGGCTCGTCGACGGCAACGCTCGCAGAGCACGGAGCACGAACCGAGGCTCCTTCCCCGACACCGCCTTCTCTATCTGCTTCACATGCTCCCTGATGTCTGGGGGAGGGAGGAGGAGGAGGAGGAGGAGGAGGTGAGATCAGAGGAGGAGGAGGAGGAGGAGGTGAAGATCAGAGGAGGAGGACGAGGAGGAGGAGGTGAAGATCAGAGGAGGAGGTGAAGATCAGAGTAGGAGAGATCAGAGGAGGAGGAGGGGAAGATCAGAGGAGGAGGAAGAGGAGGAGGAGGTGAAGATCAGGAGGAGGTGAAGATCAGAGTAGGAGAGATCAGAGGAGGAGGAGGTGAAGATCAGAGGAGGAGGACGAGGAGGAGGAGGTGAAGATCAGAGGAGGAGGTGAAGATCAGAGTAGGAGAGATCAGAGGAGGAGGAGGTGAAGATCAGAGGAGGAGGAAGAGGAGGAGGAGGTGAAGATCAGAGGAGGAGGTGAAGATCAGAGTAGGAGAGATCAGAGGAGGAGGAGGTGAAGATCAGAGGAGGAGGAGGTCAGAGGGGGTGTGGCCAACACCCACAGGAAGAGGAGAGACAAACAGCAGTTCATTAATAACTTGTTGCAGCTTCAGTCACATGATTATTGTTTACAATGACTCATCGATTCATGTTCCAATCACAACAATAAAAACATTGATCTTCTGAAGCTGCGGGACAGATGAACCGTCTCCACGTGGATCATGTTTCTGATCTGGACCTGGTCTCATGGAGAGGAATCATGATTCACAGACAGGTTTAATGAGCCTCCGTGTTGATCTAGTCTGGGTCTGACACATACAGAAGGGCTTCTGCAGACATGGTCTGCTGTGGTCTGTGAAACACGTTACACAGATTAGATTCCTAACGCACGAGTCCGGGTTTTAACAGGTTTTGATTCCTCTGGTCCAGGTCTGCCGAGGCTACATGAACTGTTTTTGAGCTGGACCCGGTCTCATGTGGTCTGAGCTGTTTAATAACGTCCACTCGTGGAACGACAGAGGAACGATCCCCGGTAAATGTCCGTTAGCTCCGGTTAGCTACTGAATCTAAACAGTGTTTGGACGTTAGCTCCTCCGGCGTCTGTTAGCCCGCCATGCTAACAGGCTAACACCGCGGAGTGAACTCGGTCTCCGGCTGTAAACCTGTCCCGGGCTCTCCCGGTGCTTTTAACGGTGCAATGGAGTTTTACCGTCCAGGGTCAGGCTGTCCAGTTCTTTGGGCTGTTTGGCCGCGGTGGCCGTCTCCTCCTCCGGCATCTCCACGTCCTGCGGTTCTGGGCCCGGGTCCTTCGGCTTGTCCGCTTTGGAGTCCCGGTCCCGGCCTCCCGCTTTGTCGCGCCGCTTGGCCGCTGTCTCCTTCATGGTGTCTGGAAGACAAACGGCAGACAGTGAGGGGATACACGGAGCTCCAGCAGTATGAACAGGGGGACGATGAGCAGGTCTGAACCGGGTCTTTACCTGCACAGTCACTCTGATCCTCAAGCTAACGTCACAATGACTGGCAACTGTTGGAGCGCGGAGGATTCTGGGAGATCGCAGGCAGAAGCAGCAGAGCAGACTCAGACAATCGATAACAGATCTAATAAACAGGTCTGTTTCCGTTCCTGTCTTCACACTGGAACTGGACTCCACACTCTGATCCGGGTCCACTGGGTCTTAATTCATAAATAACATTATTTTCTATCAAAAAATGTAAATAAAATTACACATGAGCTGAGAGTGCCAGATCTTTTAAATCAGAACTTCCTAACGATCACAATCACCATCACCATCATCATCATCATCACAATCACCATCAGAAAAAAGACATACTAAATGTTTAATAAAATATAAATATAAATATTGATTATAAAAGCGAGGGAGAGAGAGAGAGAGAGAGAGAGAGAGAGAGACCTGTTGCTGTGTCATACTGAACAGCTTCCCTCCCTGTCTGTTTCTATCAGGCAGGTGACAGGTGTCCGGTGGGCGGGGCTTGTTGCGGCTCGTGCAGTCTGCTCAGTGCTGATAGAGCTCGTGCTGTTGCTCGGTCTGCAGTAATTCTTAGAAACAAGAGAAGAAGAAGCCGGAGGACTCAGGACTGACTGTGGCTGTGAGAGTTTTATCTGAGGCGGACTCTTGTAGAACGTGGACTTTAAAGATCATACAGTCAGCTGCTGGTTTCTGTTGTGGTTTTACTGGTTCCAGTTTGTCCGCTCGGCCTCATTAACTCACCCGCTGCTGCTGACACAGTGAGTACACGCTCAGAATATAGTATAATATAATATAATATAATAAGTATAACTATTTAAAAAAATTTAATTAAAAAAATATTATTGTGATAAAATATTATTTATTGTTTTAATCATGTATACATGTATATATGCATAAAATAATATAATTAATTAAATTATGATGTAAAATATATAATGAAATACTAATTAAAGTAACCCAGTTAAATCAAATAATGGAATAATAAACTTAATTTGGAGTTTAAAATAACACAAACCTGCCTGTGTATCATAAATGACTCAGCGTACAGTAATAATAATAATAATAATAATAATAATAATAATAATAATAATAATAATAATAATAATGTAATTACTATTATTATTATTATTATTATTATTATTGTTAATTTAATAAAATTCATGTATTAGTTTTTTTGTGGTTGAATGAATTTTTATAATAAATCAATAAATACAAAAGTCTAATCTATATATTGTTTTCTGAAACATTTTATTGTGAAAAACGTTTGATGATTATTATTATTATAATTAGTGAAATAGTTCTTTATTAGTTGTTTCAGACGAGTCGGGAGCTTCTGCTCATTTCAATTTCCTTGCAGCAAATAAATGCATCATCAGTGATGTCACAGTGTATCTGAGTCTCAGGTGTGAGACAGGTGTGTCCCGGTGGACATGTTCCGGCTGTTTGACGTGTACAAACATAAACACTGGATTGTGAAGACCCTGATCTGAAGGGGGGGGGGTGCTCAGGTCAGCTGGTCAGGTCTCAGGTAGATCACCTGACTAAATGTAACTCATGTGATGTTTCAGACTGACATTTGTCTGGAGACCCCTCAAGCTCCTCCCACTCCTCTGACATCATAGTGTGGGACTCGACCCGGTGTCACTGTGGAGACGACACGTGACCTGCCCTCACAACCTGGTGAGGAAGAGAAGGAGGAGGAGAGTCTGAGCAGGATGCTGACCCAAAGCAAGAGAAGACCTGAAGAAGAGGAGGAGGATGAGAAGGAGTCCATCCTTCCTCCTCCTCTTCCTCTCATTACCATGACGACCTCAAAGGACAGCCAATCAGAGCCTGCGGTGAGCCCTCTGGCCAATCAGCAGGTCAGCTCAGACTCGGGTGAGGATACGGGGGTGACACTGTCAGACTCCAACAGGGAGGTGTTACCGTGGCAACAGAAGGACGAGGAGGAGGAGCATGACGAAGAGGAGACGCAGGCGGTGGCCTCGTCTCCTGATGGACGATTCCTCAAGTTCAACATCGAGATCGGACGAGGATCTTTCAAGACGGTTTACAGAGGTCTGGACACGGAGACCACGGTGGAGGTGGCCTGGTGTGAGCTGCAGGTGACACACACACACACACACACACACACACACACACACACACACACATATTACCTGCAGTAGATCATGATCAGTGGCTGCCAGTCAGGAGAAATGACCAGCAGCACCTGCAGAGCGTCAGAGTGCTGAGCTGCTGTGGGCGGGGCCAGCAGAAAACACCTGTTGTAGACACTTTTAAAAGACGCCAGTGAAACAATCCAACATCTGTTTAAATGAAGCTTCATGTAGAAGATTTTCATCTTTATCTTCCTGTGAAAACAGAACTTTCCTTTGGCACTACATTCTTTCAACCGCTGAACTACCGTATTCCTACGCACAAGAGCACCTACAGGGCGCACTGTATTACGCTGCTGCCGCCGGTCAGCTGAGCGAATCAGGAAGCGGCGACCTGTGTGATCACAGTGTGTGTGTGTGTGTGTGTGTGTTATCTGAGGTGACAGTGTATCTGAGCTGATCTTATAGTTTTATTGGCTGCTGATGCAGCTCTGAGCTGTGATTGGCTCAGAATGAGGAACCATCACCTGTGGGGGGTTCTTCAGGTTTAGTAATATTTAACCCACACACACACACACACATTTATATGAATATCATCCATTCTAACTCACTAAACTCAGATGATGTAAATCTGTCAGTCACACCTGGTTTGAAGGTCCAGGTGTGAGTCAGGTTCAGGGTCGAGGGGCTTGGTCCTCACAAGTATAGACAAACGTGTGTGTGTGTGTGTGTGTTTGATAGAACAGTGACTCAGCAGTTTGTCGTTCTGTACTCAGTATCTGATTGGACAGACAGCTGCTGGTTGGTGTTGATAACAGCACACACACACACACACACACACACACACACACACACACACACACACACACAGACACACTCTCACACACACACACACAGTTAATGAGGTCAAAGGTCAGCTCTGTGTTGCATGTTTATGGTCATTAAAAAAAAATTAACACACCAACATGTCACCTGTCCTTCACTCCCATTGGTCTGCAGCAGTTACACCTCACCTGTGAGGACTTTCACTGAGTTCACTCCTAACTCATTATATTATATTATATTATATTATTATTATTAATATATCAACGCGTGTGTATAAGACCGGTTGGTCAACATGTCTTAAAGGAACAACATTAGGAAACAGATCAGTGGTTTGTGGATATGAAATCTGAGTCTGGTTAGAGTAACAGAAGGTGTGAAGCTTCATCAGGTTTATAACGTTATTAAAGTTATAACATGTAGCTGCCGTGAGCCGAGTCGTCCTGCAGAACACACAGTTTTATTTATGACCCAACAAGAAAACGTTTGTGTGTTATCATGTCAGCAAATCATCAGCGGCGTGTTGTTACAGACGGTATGAGGGCTCAGTGTCCTTCAGGTTTTTCTCACAGTCGACTCTCAGCTCGAAGTGTCAATGAATTCATTCATGTGTTGACGTATGACCTTTGACCCCGTCAGACCCATCGTCTGAACAAGGTGGAGCGTCAGCGGTTCTGTGAGGAGGTGGAGATGCTGAAAGCTCTGCAGCATCCCAACATCGTCCGATTCTTCGACTCCTGGAAGTCGGTGCAGAAGGGCCGCAAGTGCACCATCCTGGTGACGGAGCTGATGACGTCCGGGACCCTCAAAACGTGAGTCCAGAACCAGGACCTGCAGAACCTGCTCGGTTTGGACCTTACTGCTATTTCAGATTTTGTTTTTATAGATTCTAATAATAGAGTCTATATTATTATATGATCTATATTATATTATCATAATATAATAACATCAAATATACAGGTATATGTTTTGAAACTCTGCCTTAAAACGAGCCATCAGGACTCTTGGATCTTTGTGATGTCATAACAAAGCAGTCACTGCCCTCATCTACACCCAAGCCCCGCCCACCTGGACCCATCCATCCAACCCTATTGTTGTTGTTTTAACTTTAACTTGTTTTAACAACACAACAGGAAGTGGTCACTCATCAAGACCGAGACATATCAAGGAGATGCTGCACAGTGACTGGGCATGTCAGCCAATCAGAAGAGAGGAGGCTCTGAGTCTCTCTTCTGATTGGCTCACCGACCTGTTGTTACTAGAGCTCCAGCTCCAAAACTACACTGAGATGGTTTTTAAATCTTCTGATGGATCAACACTTCAAATAAAACACAGAAGAAGAAACAAACGTTTTTATTTCTAAATGACCATTTTTGTGCAGATTCAGACAAACCTGGGTGGAGTTCTTCAGGGATCCATGCTAGGTCCTGTTCCTTCAACATTTTAGTTCCTGAACATCTCACACAATCTTAGTTCCACACTCTGCTCTCACCTGAACCTCACCTGAGCTGAGACCTGTGTTTCCCTCCAGGTACCTGCGCAGGTTCCGTCAGATGAAGCTGAAGCTGCTGCAGCGTTGGAGTTTCCAGATCTTGAAGGGGCTTCATTTCATGCACTCGCGCTCCCCTCCCATCCTGCACCGGGACCTCAAGTGCGACAACATCTTCATCACCGGGCCCACTGCCTCCGTCAAGATCGGCGACCTGGGCCTCGCCACGCTCAAGAAGGCCTCGTTCGCCAAGAGCGTCATCGGTACGACCAGTGTGTAGACATTAGATGCAGTTGTTTGTAGTTGCTGCCGTTATTGTATTTCATACTGTGACTTGTGGTGTGTTCAGGGACCCCGGAGTTTATGGCTCCAGAGATGTACGAGGAGAAGTACGATGAGGCTGTGGACATTTACGCCTTCGGAATGTGCATCCTGGAGATGGCGACCTCCGAGTATCCATACTCTGAGTGTCAGAACGCCGCCCAGATCTACCGCAAAGTCACCAATGTAAGCTCCACCCACGAGAGTGCTGCCTACTTCCTGTTCCTGTTCAGGTGTTTGACTGTGCACTTGTCTCTCAGGGAATCAAACCAGACAGTTTCCTCAAAGTCAAAGTCCCAGAGCTGAAGGAGATAATCGACGGCTGTATCCGAACCAACAGCAGCGAGAGGTAATGACATCACAGCCCTCTTGATTTAAAGGGACAGTGCAGGTTATTTCACCTTGCAGTTTGTACACACATGGTCTAAAATGCCACCTCCGTTGGCTAGACAAGGACTTACCCATGATCCTCAACGTCCTGATTCAGGAGACGTTCTTGTTCAGATGTTCAGGTGATCAGATGTTCAGGTATTCAGGTGTGCAGTATTCAGGTGTTCAGGTGTTCAGGTGTTCAGGTGTTCAGATGTTCAGGTATTCAGGTGTTCAGTGTTCAGGTGTTCAGGTGTTCAGTGTTCAGGTGTTCAGATGTTCAGGTGATCAGGTGTTCAGCATTCAGGTGATCAGGTGATGGTCAGTGTCTTTGTTTGGTCCTGCAGGTTCACGGTTCAGGACCTGCTGGACCATCGGTTCTTCCAAGAGGAGCTGGGCGTTCATGTGGAGCTCGCCGAGGACGACGACGGCTCGAGGGCGGCGCTGAAGCTCTGGCTTCGGATGGATGACAACAAGAAGCTTCACGGAAAATACAAAGACAACAACGCCATCGAGTTCCTGTTCGAGCTGTACAAAGACGTCCCCGAGGAGGTGGCCCAGGAGATGGTATCTGATGACATCACACTGATGACATCACCCGAGGTGGCAGGCTGAGGTGTCTCACCTGTCTCTCTCTCTCTGTCTCTCTCAGGTGGTGTTGGGTTTTGTGTGCGAGGCGGACTATAAGCTGGTTGCCAAGGCGATCAGACACAGAGTGACTGCCATAAAACGTCAGCGGGAGAAACAGCGGCGCCTGCATGAGGGAGCTCTGAACCGCCAAACGGACGCTGTCATCGACGAGGAGCCGGACCCCACCCCCCAACCACCTGAACCATCCAATCAGAGACCTGCACCTGCTGCAAGCGCATCGGCTGAGGGGAAGGTAGCCAGCCAGGTGTGTTTGAGGCTGTTGCCATGGTAACATCCATGAAACACAAGGCCTCCTGCTGGCTGAGTTTACTCCTGCAGAGAATGATCTGTTCTCTACGTTTTAAACTAAAGAAAAAGGTCGAGGAGTTTTCTTTGGCGAGGTTCATTTGATGGTCGTGATGTCGTCATGATGTCGTCGTGATGTCGTCTGATATCTGATATATTTCTATATATATATTATATATTATATTTATAAAAATATGTATTGAAGATATTTAATTTCAATCATGAATCAGAAAAAAACCCCACTATTTTCGACGTGAATGAAATTCTGTTTTGAACTTATAGCAGGACGCAGCAGTTGTTCCAGCACCGCCCCCCCCTTGGATAGAAGCCCCATCCATGGTAACCATGACATCATCAATGCTGTCATCAAGCAGCAGCCCGGTGGATTCTGGGATCAGCAGCTTGTTCAGTAGGACGGAGGAAGACGGAGACGAGGATGACAAGGCGGCCAAACACACGTCGTATTCCTCTGCCACATGTCCGTGTCACTTCCTGTTTTATTTTCATGTTTCTGAAGTTTTATCATCTTCACATTGAAATATCTCTCTCCCCTCTGGTTGCCATGGCAGCGGACTATGAGATAGACAACTCCTCAGGTGTCACAGAGAAGGTCGAAGCCACGCCCTCTCCTGTCACAAACCCCACCCCCGCCCCGTCCTTCTCTGCTCCTACTCCAGTGGCTCATGAAACCCCTCGCCTTGAGGCTTCTCCCTCTTTGACCCGGGCTCCATCTAAGGCTCCACCCCTTCCTGTGCTGCGTTTCCCCAAGGTGAGCAGGGGGCGGGGCTTAAACATAGACAGAGGTTGGAGCTAAAATGAATTTGACTCCGCCTCCTCAGAGTCAGACCTGAGCCACATGTTGATCTGGTTCAGTGTGACATCACTTCCTGATGATTATCTCTGATGTCCCTCCACAATAAAAAGTCATCACAGCTGATCACAGCGGATCACAGCTATGCAACGGGGCATAGTCATTGATCATTTTAATCAATATGAATCTCTGTGTGGAGCTCACACAGTTCTGCTGAGGCTGGAGTGTTGAGATGGATCTGTGTCACCCTCTAGAGGACTAGAACTGTACTGACACCTGGTCTGACAGGTAGACCTGGATCAGGATCAGGGTCAGTTTAGTCTGAATCTTTGTCCTCATGTTGTCTCCAGAGCATTGCTGTGTCCCATAATGCAGAGCGGCCATCGTCTGAATCAGTCTGCGGCTTCTCTTCACCTGTTGATAGGTGACACACACACACACACACACACACACACACACACACACACACACACACACACTAGGGATTTTACTTCACATTGTCTGTCTGTCCGTAGCTGCACCTCTGATGTGACCTCAGGTTTGAGTGACTGCAATGACGGCCAATCAGATAAGGGCAACCAGGAAGTAAAGAAAAGGGCGGCGATGAAGCAGTTCAGGAGGAGAGCGAGGGCTCGTCTGAAAATCACCAGGGTGAGAACACGACTCACTGTCATCCTCAGCTTCATTAACCACGACCTGACAGAGTGTGTGTGTGTGTGTGTGTGTGTGTGTGTGGTGCGTTCAGGTGTCAGACATGGTGGACCGGGTGGTGGAGTGTCAGCTGCAGACTCACAACAGTAAGATGGTGACCTTTAAATTCGACCTGGACGGAGACAATCCAGAGGACATCGCCTCTGTGATGGTGAGTAGCAACAGCCAATCAGAGCGCGTCTCTAGCAGCTGGAGCTGAGCTGCTTGTTTCTCCGATAACTTCAGATCCAGATGTCTGACGACTAAAATCATCTGCTTCAAAAAACAAGCTGAAAACAACGAGGTGGAAAAAGTGTCAAGAGTCAAAAGTCACTGTTGAGCTTCTGTCAAACACACTGACACATGATCATAGAGGAGATGATGTCATCACAGGCGACCAATGAAATGTCACCATGATTAAAGTCAGATTTCTCTGGTTTGAAAATTGAACTCAATAACATATAGAACATATAGAAAATAGAACTTATAGAACTTATAGAAAATAGAACACATAGAACATAGAACATAGGTGTAGTTGTTAATTTGGAGAGTCAGAGGAACTGGATCAATGACGTGAATAAAACTCGTCAGAGATGAAGTCCCTGTTTTTAACCCTTCACTGATACGACAGGTAACTACAGCTGTAACACTGTGTGTGTGTGTGTGTGTGTGTGTGTGTGTGTGTGTGTCAGCTCCACAGAGACTTCATCCTCCCGTCAGAGCGGGAAGGATTCATTCTCCGCATGTATGACATCATCACGAGGGTGGAGTCAATGACGCATCAGCAGCCAGCAGACACGGACAGGGTCTCTCACCTACCCCCCCCCTCACTGCCTGAGTCCACGGTGTGTGTGTGTGTGTGTGTTCTCATTGATAACTTCCAAAGTGATCGATCAGTTAAACGATTCATCTTGAACCTGTTCAGTAAACTGATGTTCTGGTGTTAATCGTATTTGAACCTGCAGCCTCACCTGTCGACCCCGGGCCTCTCCAGAGCTCTGTCCTTATCCTCACTACCTGGTAAAGAGGAGGGGGGGGGGGTTATTTCAGTTCATATTTACTCACCTGTGATAAACAGGCTGAATGACTGACTCACCTGTTGTGTTTTCCCATCAGACATTGATGCTGACCCCTCTCCCTCAAAGGGCGTAGACTTCTACATCGACCCTGAGGCCACGCCCACCGTCAGGCCGCTGAGGTCACAGTCTTTTCACACCTCATCAGGTACATGAGCACACCTGGTGCGGTAAAGCCTCTCCCTTTGGAAAATTGCATTTTCAAGCTTTAATGACAGCGCCACCGTGTGGTGATGCGCATCATTTCCAGTCATTGGGCCACGTTTCATGTTTGCAGCTCATTCCAGCTCACGGCACAAGACAAAGGATAATAATAATAATAATAATAATAACAACAATAACAATAACAAAACAATAATAGTAATAATAATAATACCAAATAATTTTTCTTCTCCTTTTTCTTTTCATTTTAATTGTTTTATTTTTCATTCTGTCAATTTTTTATTTTTATCTTATTTATATATTATTTTATTTTTTCATTTTTCTTATTTGCATTTGTTTATTTTTTTCTACTTTATTTTGACTTTTCCTCCTTTTTATTTTCAATATTTTTTCTTTTCTGTTCTATGATTATCATTTTCGTTTTTTTATTTCATTTTCTTTCTTTCTCTTTCTTTTCACATTTGTATTTGTTTTTGTTGTTGCTGATAAAAATGAACATACAACACTTATTGAAATGACCCAATGTTTATATTAATAACAGATGAATAATTCTCTTTAATACCCCCCCTCCAGCTTCCTCCCATCAGCCCCCCATCTATCCCTTCCAATACCCCCACCCAGACTCCGCCCTTTCCTCCTCCCACCTCCCTCCTCCTCCTCAGTATCACCTCCAGTCTACCCCCTATTCGCCCTACACTGCCCCCTTCCCCGCTCGGAGCCCCGCCCCCGGCCTCCATGGAGTCAACAGTAACCCCTCCCTCCCCACCCCCCCATCCACCTCTTCCTCGGCCCCTCCCCCTCCTCATCTGGCCCCCCCCTGACCAGCCTTTCTTCACTCTGACCAACATGCTCTCTCTGGCCATGAGCATGGCCCAGACTTTCATGCCCCCACCTGGGGCCCCGAACCAGGGCTTTCTCCCCCAAAACCAGCCCCTGTCTCCCCCGTTCGCCTCCCCCCAAACCCTCCACTCTCCCCCCATGTCTCCATCCCTGGGCCCTAAGCTCCACCCTCCACCTGCCTCCTTCTCTGCTCCGCTCAGCTCCCAACCTCCCCACAGCCACCAACTCACTCAGACAGGCTCCGCCCAGGACAGCCAGCAGGGGGCGTCGCCAGGCCGGACTGACACGCCTCAGGTAGGAGGGGGCAGCCAGGTGTGTTCTTAAATATTCACTGTGATTACCTGACTTCACTAACGAGCCCTGTGGTCCAGGTAGAGGACTACACTGACCCAGGTTCTGTTCATTCATTCGTTTTCACTCGTTCATTCAGTCATTGCCACGTCACAGTCACACGGTTCAGCTGAAGGTCGGCTCAGCTCCGCCCCCTCATGGTGAGTCTGCTGACATCACAAAGTGTTATCACACCAGACTGAGCAGATTTACTGATCATTGGTCTGGTTTACAGGTTCAGAGATGGTCGCCGCTCCCAGTCCGACCGGTGCTCCCGGTCCGACCAGTGCTCCCAGTCCGACCGGTCCGACCGGTGCTCCCGGTCCGACCGGTGCTCCCGGTCCGACCGGTGCTCCCGGTCCGACCGGTGCTCCCAGTCCGACCGGTGCTCCGAGTCCGACCGGTGCTCCCGGTCCGACCAGTGCTCCCAGTGCTGCTCCATCCAGTCCTCACAGAGTAAGAGATACAGGAGAAATGTGTTTTTATGTGAAATTATTTCCTGTTGAAAATCTCTTTATTATCGTTTGTTGCTGTTTTTTCTGTTTTAGTTTCAGCTTCTTTCATTTAATTGGTTTTTATTTAAAAAATGTGTAAATAACTTGAACGACATGATCGTGGATGATTAGTAAATAACCACCACGAGACATCAGGTTGAATATGTAACAATAATGATGATGATGATGATGTTCTTCCTCCCGTTCAGGTGTCTCCCCCCGTCCTCCCATCACCCAGACTGTCCCCCATTCAGGAGGGTAAGACACAGCTCAGAGCGACTGAGACTTCTTCTTCTTCAGTTTTCTCCCACAGACTTCATCTGTAGGAACCTTCAGTGTCTCTCTGAACAGGGAGTGTTCCTAATAAAGTGCTCACCTGGTCTGACTGTGGAGGGAACATGAGGCTCGGCTCAGTCCGACACTTCACAGGACAACCAGCTGCTCACACTCTTTCTTCTTCTGTGTTTTTACAGTGAAGAAACCTTCAGTCGTCACTGTCGGTCGTTTCCAGGTGATGCCCTCTAAAGTCGTTCCCGCTGTCCATCATCAGGAGCCCCGCCCACTAGACCAGGCCACACCCACCGCCCACTCTCCGCCTCCCTCCAGGCCGAACCAATCAGATAGCTCAGAGAGCAGCACGGAGGAACAGAACGAATCAGACAGTAGCATCGCCATGGTGACAGTCTCCCCGGCTGGAGGACAGGAGGACCAGTGGAGGAGGGGTGAGGATGAAGAGGAGGAGGAGAGGAAGAGGAGGGGGGGTCAGAGGCTGAGTGTCAGTCAGTGGGACGGGTCAGCCAGCAGCGGCAGCCTCAGCCAATCACGGAGCCGCTCTGCACCCGTCTTCAGCTCTGACGAATCAGAGAGCGAGAAGGAGGAGATGTGGGAGGAGCTACAGGAGCTGCGTGAAAGGTGATTGGTGGATTGATGATGTTTTCCTCACCGAGGCAGATGATTGGCCCAATCAGAGAGAGAGAAATTTCAATATAAGACCTTAAGTCTGATTTCAAAATAAGACTCATGATTGAACCTGAGATTTATATAAAACATGAACCTCTGCTATTGGTTCTGTTCTAGTTCTGGTTCTATTCTGGTTCTGTTCTAGTTTTGGTACTGTTCTGGTTCTGTTCTAGTTTTGGTACTGTTCTAGTGGTTCTCCTCTGGTTCTCCTCTGGTGCTGTTCTGGTTCTGAGGGAATCTAAAGGGAATTTCTTCAAATTTGCCACCAACATTCCTTTGACTCAACTGATTTGGTCAAAGGTCAGCTTCAGTGTGACATCATAATGTTCTAGTCATTATTCAACAGAGTTACATAGCAACAGTAAAGAAGGAGGAGGAGTTAAAACTGACCTGTCAGGAGTGTTGCTGCTTCCAGCCCTTTGACACCTGTGGTCACATGATCTTCTTCCAGCTCTCACATATTATTTATGTTAATTTATGTAAATGAGACTCGATCAGAGTCCAGATGAGTACGCGACATGAATCCTCTCCCTCCCTCCCCCAGACACCTGACCGAGGTGCAGAACCTACAGGCCAATCAGAAGCGAGAGATCGAGGGACTGTACCTGAGGATGGGTAAAGCCCCGCCCCCTGGTATCGTCTCTCCAGCCGCCATGTTGAACCATCGCCAACGCCGCCTCTCCAAGAGCGGGAACCACCCGCCTGCTCACAAAAACAGCCTGCAGAGACTGGACGTGCTGCCCCCTGCAGGTGGGAGGGGCACTGCAGCCTGTTCACCACAAACAACAACAACAACAGAGTTTATGATAATGAGATGACGTAATGACATGAAACCTGATGTTGTGTTTGTGCTTCAGGCATCATGAGGAAGAGCTCGCTCAGCGGCAGCAGCAGCGGCTCTCAGGAGAGAGTAGGGAAAGGAGTGACCTTTGCCCCTGAACACACCTGTATGGTGAGTTCACACCCTCACCTGTACAGCTCCAGTCTGTTGCTTCTGCCCCCTGGTGGTCACTAAAATCCCTGAATCCACCTCCAGGTGGAGAGAAGGGTTGAAAATGAAGCGCTCTGATTGGCTGTACAAATAACATCCAGGTAGAACACCTGGTTGCAGTGTTGTGTAGACTGCCACTGCAGAGATTAACCTCTGACCTCTGACCTTTCTCCTCCAGTGACAGAGAGCAGCTGCTGACTGATGAGGAGGACGAAGAAAGAGGAAGAGGAGCAACACGTCGCTTTATTATCAAAGCTGCAGAGAGACAGACACCTGATCTGGGTTTTATAACCTGTCCCAGCTCCTGGATCTGATCTGAGACCTGGATCTGATCTGATCTGAGACCTGGATCTAGTCTGAGCCTGGATCTGGTCTGAGCTGAGACTTGGATCTGATCTGAGACCTGGATCTGGTCTGAGCTGCTGGTCCTCCTCTGACCTGGATCAGTTGTTTCTGCATGAACACGTCATCAGACTCTCGCAGCTGATTTTACACATTTTATATGTTTGTGATTGTTTGTGTTTGACTGTCAATCAAATCAGCTGCAGAGTTTGTGCTCGATGTGAATCTATAACTTTGACGTGCTGCTCATGAAGTCCACCTCCTGCTGTATTCTGAGTCTGTATCCACCGACCCAGAACCACAGCGCTCCGTATTAAAGGGTGATGTCATAAAGACTTGTTGTGACGATCGAAGAGAGACGACTGAACGAACAGAAACTCCAACAGAGCGAGCACCGCCTCGTCCTCTGGAGGATGAAATCAGGTGACGTCTGGCCGAGATGTGAAGAGATGAACATGTGGGTTTGGACGTGTCGCACTCAGAGATTCTGAGGACTCTGCTCTCCTCACATAAACTTTGTTTTCATTCTCTTGGTTTTAACACATGTACCATATTATTTTCATTACTGGAGTGCAATGCATCTTGGGATATGTTGGACCGGGAAGGATTCACCCCCACTGGGAACTCGTCTTTGACATGAAACCAGAATTTACAGGATTCATTTAATCTCAGTTTGTAAAGTTTGAATTATTCCAATATTAAACCTCATATTTTAAAGTTTTTTGTCCAATAAAAGTTTGATGCTAGAATTATAAAAACATTGTGATGTTTTTCTAACAGGGTCCAGTTTACATTCATCACTAAGGCAGATTATTCTTCCTCTAACAGACAAAGAGCTCTACAGTTTCCGTCCACCATCACAAGCCTCGGGGGGGCAACACTTCCCCCCTGACTCCTCCCACTGACATCATCTCTGTGTGTTTATATTTTTATCGTCCGTCTCATTCTCGTGGACACGATGTCTCAGTTACGCCTTGACAGGACGTCTTTAAATTTGGTTCAAACATTCACCAGGACTCAAGGATGAACTCATTAGATTTTGGTGGTCAGAGGTCAAAGGTTAAGGTCAGTGTGACCTCACAAAACACTTTTTAGCCATAACTCAAGACTTCACACAGATGGTTCATAAACGGCTCTGACTGATAACAGGATGTGACCTGGAACTAGTCTGAGAGGCGGAGGGATACAACCACAAGGAGGTGACTCAACATTCAAATATGTGTCGAGCAACTGTTGCCACAGCTCTTCCAAATTCACCATTAAACCTGCCTCAATGTCTGAATATTTACGATGAAGACGACGAGATGTGGGAAATAACGAGGGTCGAAGTCCAGATTGGAAAGGACTCTGTGTCTGTGCAGAGTGCCGCTCTAAAAACAGCTCCCACCATCCTCATCACTGCGAGCCGAGGCTCAGACACTGATGTGTTGTTGTGGAGGTTTCTATAAAGGGAAACGTCAGAGCGACACAGACTCATCACTTTCTGTCTTATGTATGTCCTCCTGCTGACCTCCGCCCATCCTGTCTGCTGTATGTTATCCATACGTTCACTCCTCACACTCCATCACTCTCTCACAGCCGCTCCCTCCTCTCAGGTCTTAGAGAGGAGTCAGAGGGAGGAGGAGTCAGAGGGAGGAGGGGTCAGAGGGAGGAGGAGTCAGTGGGAGGAGGAGTCAGAGGGAGGAGTCAGAGGGAGGAGGAGTCAGAGGGAGGAGGGGTCAGAGGGAGGAGGGGTCAGAGGGAGGAGGAGTCAGAGGGAGGAGGAGTCAATGGGAGGAGGGGTCAGAGGGAGGAGGGGTCAGTGGGAGGAGGAGTCGGTGGGAGGAGGGGTCAGAGGGAGGAGGGGTCAGTGGGAGGAGGAGTCAGTGGGAGGAGGGGTCAGTGGGAGGAGGGGTCAGTGGGAGGAGGGGTCAGAGGGAGGAGGAGTCAATGGGAGGAGGGGTCAGAGCGAGGAGGGGTCAGTGGGAGGAGGAGTCAGAGGAGTCAGTGGGAGGAGGCGCTGCTGTGTGAGCTGAACAATGTCATGTTCTCCAACCTGTTTCCACTACTGACGAACATCTGAAGAAACCAACAACTGACCCTGAACTCAGACCAGTCCAGACCAGACCAGACCAGTACAGTCCAGTACAGTCCAGAACAGACCAGAACACAACAGAACAGAACAGAACAGAACAGAACACAAAAGAACAGAACAAAACAGAACAGAACAGAACAGAACCGAACCGACCATAAACCTCAGCTCTACTGGTTTTAGTTTCTGTTTATTACTCTACTTTTTCTTTTTTCTTTAAGTGTTTTCTATTTTCTATTCTTATTTTTAGATCCGTGTCATAAACGTCTGTGCTGTTTCTTCCTTGTGCTGCTGGGACGACTAAATTTATCCTCAGAGACAGACCATACTTGTTTAGGGGGGTGGACGGGGCTGGGGGGGAATTCCTGCAGACAGACACAAACAACAGGACTATCTTTCTTCTGGTAGCTGAGGGTCAGACCAGAGCTTTTCCTCATCGCTTCTCAGGAGGTGAGTTGACAAATATACATGTTCATTTCATGATCTTGTTTCTTTTCAACATTTACTTTAAAACAGAATGAATATTTTAGAACCAGTTTTCATGAACAGCTCAGAAAACAGAAGAATAAATGTGTTCAGTGTCTGTGTGTGTGTTTTATATCTGTGGGGAACTTTGTGTCTGTGCTGACACATGGAAAAAATTCCAATAATTCTGAACATAGTGAATCGTCTGTAATACAAACTGAACATTTCCTACTGCTGCACCTTCACATTAAAAGCATCTGATTGGCCATTTGACTTTTATTATGAAGTGGTCACAGGGAATGCAGTGTGTTTATCAGTAAGCTCAGTCCTGTGAGTTGAAGTTCATCCTCTCTTACTTCCTGGTTGAGAAATCTGGATCAGGCCCTGTCTGTGACTCAGCCACATGTTGGAGCCTCAGTCAGACCCAGACTCAGATGAGGAGTCTGTTGAGACCAGAACCACAGACTAGCAAACGGATCAGAACCATTAGCATAATTAGCATCCTATCAGAACAGTTAGTGTAATTAGCATCTTTTAAGAATGGTTAGCATAGTTAGCACATTTTTTAGGACATTTACTGTAGTTACCATCTTTTCAGCTCTGTTAGTGTAATTAGCATCTTTTAATGAACAGTTGGTTGGTAATGGTTTGCTTAATTAGCATCTTTTCCTTGGCACTTTAAAGACAATCCAGCGGCACGTCTTGCTGACAGGGTTCACTGTTACCAGTTGGGTTTTCTTTGTAAAATACAGACAGACAGATTATTAGCAACATTCAGGGATTTTAAGTTTCTGACATTTGTCGACACTTTATTTCCTAACTAACTTTTTATCTGACTTTCTTGTAGACCTGCCGACCTCTCAGTGTGATCTCAACATGGACGTTGCCGACAAGCTCGTAGATAAAATCTTCTCGTGGGTGGAGCTACAGAAGAAAGGTTCACACAAGTTGAAGAAACTGGCCACTGAGCTTGAGGAAAACAAGAAGAATGTTAACGTCACTAAGGTTGTTGGGAGCTCAGTGTCTGTAGGTGGTGCAGCTGCACTGACAGCAGCAGGTATATTAACCTTCTGGACAGGAGGGTTAGCAGCACCTCTTCTAGTTGTAGGAGCAGCAGCAACAGGGGCTGGTTTGGCTACTAATGTGGGTGCTGATATTGTAGATCTTATAGCATCAAGTCGCACCATGAAAGAGGCTGAAGAGATTTCAGAGGAGATCCAGAATGTTGAGAAGAAACTCCAGGAACTCATGACGACACTGTTAGAGGAACAACGGGATGGTGATCATCTTCCTCCTGATGAATATGTCACGGAGCGAATCCTGAGAGCAATGGCCAACAACAATGGACTGCAACTACATGATGATGTCAGTTTGTACAAAATCATCACTACGGTGACAGGTTTGTCCAGATATCAGCTCACTGGGGAAGACGGAGGCCTGAGCCTGATTACACGGTTTGTTGTAACACAAGTAGTTAGACAAACAGGGAGAGCTGTGGTTTCAGTGGCCGCTTCCATCGGAGGAAAAACAGCAGCGAAGGCAGCTGGTCGTGTAAGTATCAAAGAAAGTGCCTGGCACAGCAGGGGGCGCTGTTTCCTGCCTCATCAGTGACTCAGAGGTCACGGTGAGATCTAGGCCCAATCCCAATGTCCCCCCCTAAGACCTCACAGACTTGAATAATACATAAGTAACTTTGTGACATATCATGTTACCTGGACAACTTCAAAACATGTTTGGTACCACTGTGGGTTTGTTACGTTTGATTTTACATGTTTGACTCCTTCCCTTCGCTTCCTATGTTCTCACAGGAAGTACTCACATCTACTCTTCTTTTGTGCCATGCCGTCATTGCTGACTCAGTGTGAATTTACTCAGCTGTTGGAAACTGTACATTTCTTCTACTCTCAGTCGTGGTAGCTGTAGGGTTGAGACATCATTTTCTTTTGTGAACACATTTTCCTCCTGTTTGTCAGGAGGCAGGTGAGACGCCTGTATTTTATTTTTGTTTTTCTTTCAGATAAGTTAATGGACACTTTACAGATTGTTATGTCTGTTGTTGCGACTGTGCTCACCCTGACACACCTTTCTACTTCAAATGATAAAAAAATCTTTTGGACTACACATTGTTGTGGCACTGGACATCCTTGGGAGTGAGGATTTGGTGGTTTCAGCAGGTCTCAGGTCTCTCACCGAACAACCTCTTTGATCCAGACCAGTCAGGCTTTAAAAGCGTTGTCTGTTGTGTATGACAAAAGCCCTACAGGCAGCGAGAGCTGCAGTTCAGTCCTCAGTTCTGATCTCGCTGGACCTCTCGCAGTCTTTGATACAGTGACCCACCACATCCTGCTATCTGTACTCTACGACACCAGTGTCTCAGGCAAAGTCCCTTCTTTGTTTGAATCATGTCCTTATCCTGAGAGGTTCCAGGCCTTGGTATAAAGAGTGTTGTTCTTTTTCAGATTGCAGGAGGAGCAGTTGGACTTGCGTTTTCGATTCCTGAGCTGGTGATCAACTGTAAAAACCTGGACAACTGTGAGACAGAAGCCAGTCAGAGTCTGAGAGAGAACGCTGAAGCCATACAGAAGGCCTCTGAAGAGCTGGAAACACAACTTAATGAAATTCAGTGAGTCTGAACATCAACATTATTTACAGCAGGAGTATTCAATTAAAATTCAAAGAGGTCCAGTTACAAAAATGTCCTCCCAGCAAAGATCCAAATCTTATATTGTCACTCGAAATAGTGCACCCTGATGTAAATAAAAAACAACATATGTACTTTTCTATATCATTTATTGTCAAATTTCAAGTGTTATATACTTTAAACATACCAATAAGTCTGAACTTGTATGGCACTTGAATGGAAAACATGACTGTAGTTGTCTTTACTACACAGTAACTGAATTTCTTCTGAATAAAATAAATAAAAAGTGCAAACACAGCTTTGAGCAACCTGAACTTAATAATGTAAAAACATTCAGAATCTTTTGAATAAAATAAAAGTGCATCTTTAAGAAAAAATGTAAACAAAAGACCTTTGAGCTGCCCACCCCCTTTTTTAAACATGTATTAACTACATTTAAAATAAAATAACACAGGAACCTTAATGCCTACATTTCAAGTAAAATAGAACAGGGCAGAATTTACTGAACAAAAGAAAAGTGCAGAGCTTTGAGCAGCTCCCTTTCTCCTCTCTCCTCTCCTTCCTCCCTTTCCAACTTCCTTTCCTAGTGAGAGAAATGGGCATGTAACTTTCCTGCCAACAGTTTGAATCTTGGCTTAAATGGGGTTAGTGCCATTCTCATGCTCATGTGGAGATGCTCATTGGTAAGCCTGGAACAGTACTTTGTTTTAATAATGTTCATCGTAGAGAAAGCTGTCTCACAGCTGTAAGTTGATCCAAACATGGTTAAGGTGTGTAGTGCTACTTTGGTTAGACCAGGGAAAATGGTTTCAGGCACAATCTGTAACCAGAAAGTAGCAGAGTCAGTTGTTTCAAAATGCTCTCTCAGAGCAACATCTGCTTGCAGATCAGTGAGCTCTAACTGTAAAGATCCAGGATGTGCCCACTTGAAGGTCTGTGTCACCTCCTTTGAAAATCCTCTGATTTCTCTGATAAGGAATGGATTCTTGATTAGCAGGAGGAGCTGGTGTCCAAGGTTGAAGCTGTCAAATCGATGACAGAAGTTTCCAATCAGCTTGTCTATGAAGCTGACATAAGGGGAAATGTCTCTCTTACCCTGAATTTGTTCCTGCATTTGTGGGAAGTGCTCACACTCTCCTTGGAGATCTTCTTTGAAAATGTCCAGCTTCATCTGGAAGGAGTGGACAGTTTTCATCATATCACAGACAGAATTTTTCTGACCCTGCAGCTTTAAATTGAGCTTATTAAGGTGTCCTGTGATGTCCACCAAAAAAGCCACCACATCCATCTTCTTGTTATCTTGCAAAAAGTTTGCACTGTGTTGCTTTTTGTCTCTTGAGCTGCTGTAAGAAAGCTTGCTTGATTTTTCCACACGTCGTTTTTTTGTTTACCGTCAAGTAAAGTCTCTGCAGCCGCATTGAAGCACTCCTTCACCACTGTCCCATCGCTGAATGTTTCTTGTGTTGCACCAAAATCCACGCAATCTTAAGTGAACGCTCATCTGCACGTTGCTGGCCTGTAAATGCATGTGAGGACACAGGTAGACCGGTCATACTGTGCTTTCAGTTCGATCATTTTACTTGCCCTCGCTGCGGACTTCTGCGGGTATGTTTCATCAAACGATCCGTGTTTGGTCTCATAGTGACGCTTAACGTTGCTACTTTTTATTAACGCCACAGTTTCACAGCATATGAGAGACAGGTTTAGAACTGGCTGCAGGCAGGACGAACATGTATTGGTCCGTCCATTCATCTTTAAAAGTTCGGTTTTCACTGTCTACTTTTCTCATTTTTGAGCAAGCCATTTTCACTCATCTCCCCTCTCTCTCTCTCTCTCTCTCTCTATTCTCTGGTGCTGAAAAGTAAACAATCGATTTGATTGGCTTGGCTATTGATGACGTTTCTGTCGTATAAAGTAAATTAGCTGCGCATGCATGAATGATTCATTTTTTTTATTAGGCCTAATATTATAATTATAATATAATTTTCACGGGTCCGGACAGAACCGTCACTGGGTCCGTGCCCGGACCGCGGTCCGCCATTTGGTGATGCCTGATTTACAGTGTAATGCTAGAAATTAAAAGATGCCATCAAAGGTTTATTTGAGGTGTATCTGAGGTTTTCTGTCCATGTTCTGAGGTAAAGACTCGTATCTGTACAGGAGAGTAACACTGGAACACCTCATCGTTAGAAGATGAATATTTAGATCAGACTGTTTAAATGGTTGAAATGATGCGTCTAATTCGTTTTTTTAATTCCTCTTACAGGAAAGTGATTAAGAGATTCGCCAGGGTGAAACTCTGCATTGAAAACAAGGACAGAAGCTCCGATCAAAGGGAAGAATTGATAGAATTTGCAATAGAAAATTGTCGGGATGAAGCCGTTCGACAATGGCTGAGAGAGAATTCAAAGTCTAAGACTTTGTTCCATCTCGTGGACGTGTTTCATTTAGTGAAAAAACACTTAGATAAGAAGGAAAAAAAGAAGAAGGTTGACATCACCTTTGTGGCTCATGGGTCGATCAGAGACGATGATATCCCAGCCGCCTGTCTGCTGCCTCTGCCCACCATCACAGATGTGCTGCTTTATTCTCCCTGGAACTGTGCCATCACTGCTAAGGTAGCGTATGGTATTGCTACAGGACTCGTACAAACTCAGCACAGAGTTTTTATCTGTGTGAAGAAACACAACTGTCAAATTCCTCATAAAGGACATTTTCCCACAAAGCTGCCAAGTCGCTGGAACTCAATGAAGAGAGCTGGAGTTCAGAAGATTCCCAAAATCATGGTCAGTACTCTCAGACTACCAAAGGACGGTGCATGGGATTGTTTTAAATCTCTCACAGCAACACATGGTCAGCCAGAGCGAAGCCGCATCGTCATCCCGTTCATCTTCCCGGGTCGTCCAATAAGAATCCCGTTCTTCGTCGTCACCTTGGCCCTGTCTCTGGTGCTCTTTTTCTACAGGTATGAAGCCACCGTCCATCTGGCTGCCTGTCTGAATGATAGATCTGCTGATGAGAAGTTTGACTGGGAGTTTCTGGAGACACAGTATTCCTACACCATCGACAGCACAGCAATGACGTCTTCAGCAGACATGCTTCCCAACAGACATGCTGACCTGTACAGGGCCTTTGAAGCTGTGTTTGATTAGACAGGTTCTGCCTCACAGTCCAAACTGCACTAAACAACAAGTTGTAAAATCAGTCAAGTGAAAAATGTTTCCACATTTATTCGGATCCAGTTCAGTTTTAGTTTTCAGGGTGGATTTACTGTTTAGTAACAATTTTCTGGAGATGAACAGTTTTGTTTCAGACAAATATACGTTCAGGCTTCAAGCTGAACTCAGTGTTTCCGGGTGTTTCCAGGTGTTGGGGAGTCGTCAGTGTGTGACAACTAACATACACTGACAATGTGGAAAACAATGATGTAAATATGTCCTTTCTGACGTTAGCGTAGCTGTAGCCCAGTGAAAGGGACTCACACTGGCGCCAGTGTTATGCTTTCATCTGCGAGTACGTGAGGATCCACGAGGCTCAATTTGACATACATCATTGGAGGGTCGTCCACCGCTACCTTCATCTCTACAATTCATCTTTAACAGTGCAGCAGACTAAGCAGCTCCTCTTCTTCTTGCATGTTGCCATTTTGATTTGATTCGTAGTGTGAATGCGCGTTATACGTAGACAACGATCTACTTCACATGTATGAAGTATTTATACTTTGTGGATTATTCTTCTTCTCACACAGCAGTAAGGGCGGGAACAGGTGATGCAAAGCAAAAATCCTCCACAGACCAGACCGTCTCATTTTGGTTCGGACTTCGTGGCCTCAGAAGACCATCTCCGTGACCATAGCTATAGCTAAATGATTTTCTGCTAACAGGCTTTTGTAGGTATCCATGACAACCATTGTAATGTATTAAACAACCAATAAATATAAAATAAAATATATATGAATTCTTTGGTTTTGATATTTTGGGGTTTAACTTTTGATTTTTACATTTATATCTGATCTTTCACCAAGTTTAATCTCTAATCTTTTTTTTTTAATCGTTTAACTTCATGTAATTCTTGTCATTTTCAAACGAAACTTGACTTTACAAGTTTTTGTGCTCCACTTGCTGTGTTGAATAAAACCAAGTAGAGTAAACTAGTAGTTTAACACATTCTGATCTTTTTATTCCTCGTCCCCACGACAGTCAGAGCAGTAGCTATATTGTTTCGTGTTGTCCGTCCACATGTTCACGGGGACTTAAGGATGAACTGGTTAGAGCTTGGTAACCCTACACTGTAAAAAAAATCCTAATTTTACAAAAAATAACTGAGAATTTTACAGTAATTTCCCTTTTTTTTTTTTTTTTTTTTAAATTGTGAACAAAAGTCTGTAAAATGACAGAAATGATCTGTGGATTAACAGCCAAACTTGTATTTTAAGCATTATGCCAATAATAATGACTTACATTTATTTCCCATTTCTGTAAAGACAAATTACTGTATCATTTATACTGTATTTTTTCTGCTTTCTTAAATTACGTACAAATCTGTGTAAAATGACAGTAAATGTCTGTGAATGTTCTCATTCGTCCAGGTCATAGTTATCTCTCTCTCAAATTGAATCGAAGGCAACTGGACTTGTATTTGTCTGTGGAAGACGTTTCGCCTCTTATCCAAGCGGCTTCATCAGTTCATCATGTATTGGTCTCTCTAGTCCGCACTAGTCTGACCAAGAAACTTTGACCACTTTCTTGGTCAGACAAACATCACAATCCAATATTCTGAAGATACAAAAACACAACACTCTTATGTACAAGTCAATTTGTTGGTCCGAGACACACACTGAGCAAGAGAGAGAGAGAAGCCAGAGCTAACTGCTAAGCTAAAGTAACAATCAGTTCTAAACAGCATGTAAACAAATGCTGAATCAGTGAAGTTCGCTATAAGCAGCAGAGAGCTGTGGGTGCTGGAGCAGAACTGGTCAGTTTAAATGTACAGCAGGTAGTTAGTCACTGTAATGAAGAAAACAACAACATTAACTGTGTTCAGATAGAGCAGCAATAAACTCTACCGGAAACAGAAACTCCAGAGACTGGCGATGAGACACTACAGTGACGTCAGCACGTAAACGGTCACTCACTGCTGTTAATGAAAGGTGACGTACTCTGAGTAAACTGTTACTCTGCTTCATTTTTAAAAGGGGAAGAGGAGGGTAAAACATCTTATATGGGGATGAGAATAATAATTAATAAATAAAGAAATGCCAGTTTTAGTTCTTCAGATCATCCCGGGGCTCTGAAGAACTATTTGTGAATAATTGGTTGATATTGTAAATTTACATCTGAATATATTAAATAAAAGTGTTATAAAGTCAATAGTGGTGTGTATGTTATTTGTAATTAAGTTTCCAACCCCACTTTAGTTGAAAGACTACATACAGAGACTTAACAGTTTCATTTGCATTTCTTCAGTTTATTATATTTTATGAGAAATGTAAGAAAATTGATCTGAATCTGAATCAGTAAATATTGTATTTAGATTGAGCTTCTACAGGTTTTAACATTACTTTACACTTAAAGATTCAATGTTGACACAAATACTGCAAGTTGAAGTTTGAGATGATTTAATCTGTTTTACACAGTATTTTACAATAGTACTTTACAATATGAAGCTTGTGTTAATATTTCATTGACTGACACTTAATTTTATTATTAGGAAAAAGTTTCTCTGCAGAAACTTTAGTGGCGTCACTTTATTGAAAGAGTTTGATCATAATAAATTAGGAAAAATCTGTAAAATAACAGTTTTTCTCTGTAGAAATATTAATGAAACTTTCTGTAAATGTATTGTTTTTACACTTTATTTGAGTAAGAATATTTAACTTTAATTTTACGGTTTTTGTTTGGCAGCTGCTGCTGACAGTCATCACTCAAGACTTCACACAGCAATTATGACAAAGTTTCACACCAATGGTTGTTATTTTGTCTGTCTCTGGATGAACAGTGAGTGGAGGAGGAGGAGATTCTCCTTTGTTTTTCTGTTATTGCTGTGAAGCCGTGCGCAGGCAGGCCAGTGCATGTGTGAAAGGGTGTAGCTCAGTGATTGTCATCATGGATAAACGTCCTGAACCTCAGCTTTAGCAACAATCACCTCGGCCATGAGCGGTTACTGTGTCCACACCAAAGCTGACAGTCTGGCTCGTTGCCATGGACACAGTTTTAGTATTTCAGTGTTTTGGGTTATGTTTTGACCATTTTAAATAAACAGCATGTGATTTTTTGTGCTATATTTAGTTATAATTTCATATCACATGTATGAACAACTTTCTCTGCGTAGCTTTATTGAACCGAACTCTCCCTGTGTGGCGTCGCTGCAGTTCAAACTCCACCAGGGTGAAGGTCAGTGACACTGATAGTGAAAGTGAGTCAGAGAGGAGGTGGGTGGGGTCGAAGATGACGGCTGCTGTTCAGCAGGAACACATGATATAACAGACTGTTCAGCTCCTTTACAATAAGTCACATGACTTACAGAAAATGAGCTGCAGGAAAAGTGAAGAAGAAAGTCTGCTGCAGATTCTCTGCATGTAAAGATCTGATATATGTGACTCATCATCAGTGTTTAATTATGTTTAAATATCAATTAAAAATCCTCTGTTGTGTCTGAAAGAGAGAGTTGAACACGACCGCAGCTCTGCTCCTCACAACAACTGATGTGAGTCTGTTGTGTAATTATTAACATGGAGTCCCTTCACTCAGCATGTGCACATCATAGTATAGACAGTAGATACTAACATATATGCTGTACATCTGTATTCCTCAGACCTCTCCACTGCTTTTAGAGCCGAGTGTCTCTGTGAATATGGCCGCTGCTGCTGGTCAGCGCTGTACTTCAGGCAGGAGAGACTCACCATGTTTCCAGATACTTGACTGGTTGATGGAGGAAACAGCCAGGAGGAGCTGAGTCTATCAGACTGACCAATGTCCTGATGTTAAAGTTACAGCAGCCTCACTGAGCTGCTGGTGTGGCTGTAGTTTCACTTCCAGGTGCTGTGTTCTTTGTAACACCTGAGTCTGAATCAGCCAATAGAAACCAGGAGCAGACAATAAAAGCTGAAGCTGGACGACCAGTCTCAGACTTCATCTCCTCTCAGTGAACTAACCTGTGACCATCTGCAGCAGGTAAGACAACACAATCATTTTCAGCTCAGGTGTCGCTCCGTTTCACCTCACTTACTTCAGCTCATTACACACAACATGTGAGTGAGAGGAAAGTTTCACTGTTGACTGTGGAAACTTGATGACTGAGTCCAGATGTTCAGTGTTTGGACATTAATAATGATGATGATAATATTCAGTCTGAGCAGCAGCAGCTTCATGTCCTAAAAACACTTTATAGACTCGTTAGCAGCAACATCTGGACTGATGTGGAGCAGTGTACGAGTCTGAATGTAGTGAACATCTACACTATAGTGACTATAAAGTCTTTGTTTTTATTTATATCATTATTTATCATTCATTTCCAGTCTAACTTTGCTTTGATTACCAATTGGGTCGATGTCTCACTTCACTGTGTGGAAGAGTCAGAGAGGAAGTGGGTGGGATCTAAGATGAGGGCTGCTGTTCAGCTCCTTTACAATAAGTCACATGACTTACAGAAAGTGAGCTGCAGGATTCCACCAGTGAAGAAGAAAGTTGCTGCAGATTGCTTCTGGGTGTAGAGGTCTTTGTTAGAAAAGCTTGTGACTCATTAGTTTCTCCTCAGAGTGGAAACACACTCCTGTGTGTTCCCTGTACGACTCTCAGGGAGAACAGCTGACAGCGGCGGCGTGCTCGTCGTGCACCGTTGTATCTAAACTCGCCGGTCACCACAGCAACTGTTGTCACATTTACTCATCAGTCCCAAGAATGATGAGGATATTAAAACTAAACCAGCAGCCTGTTCACTGCAGAGCCTTTTCAAAGTAGCACGGTCACATTCATTATTGATCTGACACTTCACTGAGCCAAAGAGTCAAAGCTTTTTATCATATCATGTGTATATATATATATATATATATATATATATATTCTTACTTTAGTATTACTAGTATAGTCAGTCTAGTACTAGACTGAAAGCAGCTGACACTGGACTTTACTTTTCAACTAACCTCCGCACATTGACCAATCACAGTCAGACATACTAAACTAGATGTGACCAGGTCAAGTCACAGTGTTAATCTGCAGAACTTCCATCCTGCACACACACACTGTGACACACTGTAAGACCTGAACATTAACTTTACAATTAATAAAAAATAAACTCAACTTCCCTTTAAGGGTTTTGAATTTCATCCCATGGTCTTCATCAGAAGATAGAGCTTGCTCAGTTGTCATGGAGATAGATGGTTGCATTGAGTGTAATAGTCCTGCTGTGGTTGACCTCACTGACAGACACAGACCTCCATCATGAGCACGGCGGACCAGCTGCTGGAGAACATGCTCTCCTGGATCGAGCAGAACGAGGCCTGTGAGAAGCAGCTGAGGAAACTGGCCAAGGAGCTGGAGTCCATCAACGAGGTGAGCAAAGCTGGTCAAACTGTGGGCAGCACGGTGGCGGTGTTTGGAGCTGTATGCACGGTCGCAGGAGGCGTGGCCACTCTGATGAGCGGGGGAATGGCTGCTCCGTTGTTAGGGTTAGGAGCGGCATATGCAGCTGCAGGTGGCACCATCTCTCTGTCGAGTGAAGTCCTCGAGATCATCTTTTCCAGCCAGCCCATGAAGGAGGCAAAGAAAGCAGCAGAGAAGGGCGTGAGAATTGAAAATAAAATCCAGCAACTGTTTGTGAAACTGATGATGGAGAGGAAGAGTCAGAATCCGCGCGCAGACACAGACGAACTGGACCAACACGTCGTGATTGAAATTGTGAAAGCCATCGCAAGACGAAAGGGACTGGTGGTAAATCTTACATTCAACTTTATG